ATAGATTTAATACATCAGCTAATATAAAAGGACTATTGGAGACATCCCATAAAACATCTTGGCTATACGTCACATCTTCACATTGAAAATCATGATTCTACCCTGCCACATTGCCCAGGTAAAATAATTATTCTAATGGCAATTTTGAAGAAGAAATGTATGAGTTGGTATAATTTACATTGAATAATTTGAGTATATGTAAAGGCTAAATTTATTGCTTTAGTTTTAGATTGAGTTTTAAAGTGTGTTAAAATGCTGTTCAGTGTTTTATTGCTGTCTATGTCCCTGCTGGGGAGATTTATTCCATCTGTTTGTCCTAGTGACCATTGCCACTAGTACAGAAAGTAATGGGAGATTCAACATTTTAAAGCTGTCACCTTAAGGCTTTAGGCCTACCCACCACCCCCCTGGCCTATGATAATACCATTATCGCCCATTACAGTATGAAGCAAAACATTTTTGTTTAGTTTTGAATAGAGCAGGAAAGGGTTAAACACCTGGCAGTTTATGTTTTGCTGCCTGTGTCCCTATGGGTAGCTCTCCTCTCACTTTCAATCCTGGAGCCACAACAGGAAGTGAAAGGAAATGTCTCCAAAATGAGGGTTATTTCTTTCCAATTTTTACTAGAACAAGTGTCCCCACTGGAACATTTACTCTCTCCTTTTCTGTTAATAGCTCTAAAAAAATCCCTTTCTCCATGAGAATGGTCAAAAAGAAAAACAGAGAGGTTGAGGTAAACAGACAGCAATACAAACTTAACACCACGGCTAGGAGGTCCAGATACAACTTTATTCCAACAAAAGTCAGGAGGACAATCTAAAAAGTAGCCAAAGTGTTTCTGGGGTCCAAATGTGTGCTGTTTTTTCCCTATTTACATACATGTCCTACAAATGTAAATCCTAATGATGAACTTCTCTCATTTGCTTCTCTTTGGCTTGTTAAATCTACCATTGCTAGAGTTTTGCAATTGATTACATTTTTGTATTTAGGCTTAATTATGTTTTAATCACTATAAAGTTACATTTTGGTCAGAATTCAGTTTTATGAGTAGATTATGCTTCTTAACTGAGAAGCTATCAAATTGGAATACAGAGCATAAATGCTTGGTAAATGCCAGCAATATTTTGCATGTTGAAATGTTTAGCTGGCACCATAAAAAGTATGATTGTTAATAAACTGGGCGATTTTGACAGCTGTAGGTGATCCTTTATCTGGAGATAAGGCCAACAGCTTTATTAGAGTTTGATTGACAACAATGTAAATGGGAAAGGGAACTGGGTCTTTAATGTTATTTCTTCCAGTGTGATTGCAAGTACAGCCCTTGACAGCAGCGGGTTTGGGCAATAACATTAAAGGTCCTATTTACATCTAATCTATTCACATTGTCATTCAAGCTCTGATGAAGTGTTTCTGGTCCCCTGAAAACATATTTGCTACTATATGGATTGTCCCACTGAATTTATCAGTGGTGTGGCACTTCAATTTCCATTTTTGTTACATTACACGGCAAGCCAAGGAGACCATCGGGATCCAAATTATGGTTGTCATTGTCCATATCTGTGCGCACAATTATCGAAGTCATCACTGTCCACCATGCACCTTCTCACTTTTAAGCCTTTAAGCATTAATTTAGAAAAGTGCAGATATAAATATAGAGGTAATATTGTGGTATTGTCGATAAAAGTCATCTAAAATTTTAGGAGGCAAATTTGTGAGACAGTTTAATAGTGTCATGGCCATGTGCAGGGTCCATAATGATACAACATACTCAGTAGCCAAAAATGAAAGTAAACATATACCCTTAACATACAAATAGCCATTTGTGGGTATAAGTAAAATAATGAGTGGGTGTGGCTAGAGAGTAATGTACAATTTCAAACCTACAGCCTATTAACTTCCAAAACAGCAGTATATCAAATTGCTTAACAGAGATGTAAAGGTAAAAAAGGAAGCCAACAGGGCTCTGAAATGGAGGTGTAACATTATTTTATCACTGTGTCTTAAACCAGAACTACACTGCATCTGAGCACCACAAACCAAAAACACTATTTAATTCATTTTGAATATTCAAAGCAAATTCACCCATTCATCCATGTTTCCATGCTTTATTTTGTTGAGAAAACACCCTCTAGCATTTCGCTCTGTGGCCATTGTGAGTGAGGACAGATGATTTATGTAGCATTTACTTTCTGAAATCTACCTGCCCTTAGCTCTGTCATGCAGGCAGGAGGGTGTGCTTAGCAGAGAAATAACTTCCTCCCTTTTTGACAACTCCTGAGATGTATGACATCATTTGCCTAGACCAGAAACCAGGAATCAACTGAAGGAATGTTTTAAAAAGTTTAAAACAAGTAAATATGATAAACTTTCCTATCTATTTACTGACATTTGCAGTGATACTTCAAATGCATGGTGCAACCGCTGTTTACATATTGACACAGTTCTAACACTTGCATACACCTTTGCGTGCAAGCACAGGGGCACAGGGATGCTTTAATTATTCTTATTTATTTTACATTTTTTATTTTTACACTGTCCCTTTTACTTATTTTTTTTATCACTTTTTTTTCTATCACGGGGAATGTAAATATCCCCTATGATAGCAATAGGCAGTGACAGTTACTCTTTTCTGAGAAACCTGGGGTCTATTAGACTGTAGATCTCTCCTCTGCCCTTAAAGCATCTGATCACACCAATAAATGGTGGTGATGAAGAAATCTCTGCCAGAAAATTTTTTAAAAATATATGCCAAAGCATAGGAGTGATCCACCCACTGACCACCCCAGGCCCCCATGCTTAGGCATATATGTTCTTTTTTAAACTGCGGATGAAAAATCTCATCTGGCAGTGCTGCGTGCACTGAAGTGTATTCTGAGAACAAGACCCTGCTGTTGTCAGAATAAACAGGTCGGTGCTGCAGCTGAATAGTGTTCCTGCAAAGCAAACAACAATGATTAATATTAAAACACAGTAACAATAGAACATTAATGCAATAAAATTACAACTTTTTTTATTGAAATCTATGCCACAGAAATTAAAAATATATATGTTGAAGCATAGGAGCGATCCACCCACTGACCACCCCAGGCCCCCATGCTTGGGCATATGTTTTTTTTTTTTTTTAACTGCAGATGAAAATTCTCATCCAGCAGTACTACACACACTGACGTATATATTCTGAGAGACCCTGTTGCTGTCAGAATAAACGGATTGGTGCTGCAGCTGAATGGTGTTCCTGTAAAGCAAACAACAATGGTTAACAATAAAACAAAGTAACAATAGAACATTAGCTCAATAAAACAATAACTTCTTGGTGTTCCTGAAAAGCAAACAACAATGGTTAACAATAAAACAAAGTAACAACAGAACATTAACTCAATAAAATCACAACTTTGTTTGGAGTTTTTAATTTTTTTATATTTTTATTGACTTTGTGGGTTTTTTTTTTTTTACTTTTTTTGTAACTTTTAAGAACAGCCTCTGATTTTAGGGTCTCTCAAAATGCGATAGACAGTTTCCTGGCTATCTAACATCTTTCCTGACCCTGTGTGAGAATGGTGAATTTGTGCTCTAGACTGTGCCGTTCTGTACCATATACTAATACTCCACTAGTGTGTGGTAGCGATGGAAGCAGTCCTTGAGGCAGAAACCAGGTTGGCCAGGACAGGAGGAACAAAAAAAGTGGGTGTCACAATTTATTCCGTGTCTGCTACAGACACAAAATCTTCTTTGGGGTGACCTTTGCTTTGGGATGCAAGAGAGCAATTCCGGAAAATGATGCTCATGCAGCTGGCTCACTGCATGTGGATTTGAGAATTGGGCCACAGCACCTTCTGGATACAAAAAGGCTGTGATGATCTCTTCCTGAAATTTTAGGAAGGATCCACAGTGTCCATTTGCTTTGTAAACTACAAAAGCATTATATATAGCCAATTGAAATAAATAAATAAACACCTTTTTGTACTAGTGTCAAACTTAGTGGGACAGTAGGTACAGATTCATCATTTGGTCTTGAAGTCCACCCCTCCCATGTTAAGGTTATAGTCATGGACACAGAGGGGTTTCTCAACAATGCCAGATGCTGTGCTAATTTGGGTCATTGTGTCTGCGTAAATGGAAGACAGGATGAAAACATTCCGGTTGTCCTTCCACTTCACTGTAAGCAATTTCTCATTTTGTAAGCAGGCTTTCTCCCCCTTTCTAAGTCGGGTGTTTACAAGCTGTTGGGGAAAGCCCTGGTGATTAGGTCATACAGTGCCACATGAGCCAATTCCAAGATTGTACAAATGTTTAAATAATGGCATACTTGTATAGAAATTGTCCACATATAAGTGGTACCCCCTTGTGGAACAAAGACGACACCAAGTCCCATACTATCTTGCAACTACTCTGCATGAAGTCTGGGCAGTCAGGGGGTTCTACTTCACTGTCTCTTCCCTAAAATTGTATGTATAGCCTGTGGCCCTCTCACAGAGTTTTTAGAATTTGACCTCATATCTGTTACACCTGGGGAGGTACTGTTTGAATGCAAAGTGGCCAGTAAAGTGAATGAGGGACTCATCCATGCAGACATTTTGCTGGGGTGTATACACATGTGGTTTATGTGGGGCCAAATTTTGTAGAGCCAGTCATGTTCAGGGTCACCCTAAGGATGGCATAGTGTGTTATCACTGAAATGCATGAAACGCATTATCATCTCATATCTATTCTTGGTCATGGCAGCAGAGAACATGGGCATATGATGAATTATGAATTGGGTCTGTGGACCAATACGATCACAACTCATTCTTTTTTGTAATGCCAATGTGGAGGGAGGGGGTTAGGCCCAAAAAAGTTTTAAATGAGGAAATCTTAATAGGTTTCCATGAGAATGGTCTGGCAAGGTGTGCGTATAAATCGTTTTGACCCACAATCAAATTATACAAAACTTACGTGAAAAGCAGCTCCAAAAAAATCAAGGGGAGTAGTTACATTTGCTGTTTCCACCTCAATTCTGGGTTTCTGGGTTGGGCAGTGAATGGGGGAAGTATGGGTGCTGCAGAATCTGTGGGCTGCCAATCAGGGATCTGCAAGCACGTTCAAAAGGACACTATGGGCTCCACGGGCCTGTGTGCGAATTCTTGGTGGCTGTGGGATTCTACTTGTGCTAGCAACTGCACCAGCTTGTACTGCACTTATGGGACTCGCCATGTCACAAAGTGATACTGCAGTGCTGGTATGAAAAAAACCAGGATGTACTAGGCCGCTAGTGCTCGCCAGTTCACCAAAAGGTAGTGTGGCACTAGTACTAAATAATAAGGGATTCCTCCTGCGCTCATGGGAATAATTGACAAAAATACAGCTGCTGTCACTTAGCTGATACAATAAGTGCAAAAAATAAAATTAAAAATTAGTGAAAGCGCTTGTATCACATGAATACAATCATGTATCTCCATATAGTGTAATTATAAATCAAAGTGACCGCTATATATAATAAATGTGTGTTGACTCCCTCTAGTGAAAAGAAAAATAGTGTCAACCAAAATAGCTAAATAACACACATTAGGAAACTAAATATATAGTGCATAAATCAAATATTAATGAACAGAATATATATACGTGAAAACAGAATATTGGCCACATACAATGGTGTCTAAATTATACATAAATGATATATGCCATAGGTGAACAGACAATATCAAAGGTGAAAAAAAAATATTCCATGCATGTGACTGTGCTTTACGTGATCTCCCACTTCTAAGTGCAAGATTCCTTCAAATGGCAGCAAGGCTCACCTCCCTTCCTCGACCCACACAGGGCCTCAAAGCAGTTACCACCTCAGTGGTGTATTCCTCTGGCAGACTCCTTATTCCTCCTCCTCTCTTATGCAACTCATAAAAAGACAAGAAAGCCTTCCATAGTGTAGTAAATTTAATAGGCAAAGTTAAAAATTACAAAGTTTTTCCACTCACAATTTGCTCCTTTCCATAAAAAAGCGATTTTTGCCTGTGGGTAGAATATGCATGCACCTGGGGGAATCCAATTGGCCACTGTGTCCGGACATACGTCACCAGGAAGTAGACAAACCGACGCGTAGGTCACGTGCGTCGTGACTTCATCAGGGTTCAACCCAGAGAACCTGATGAAGTCACGACGCACTGACGCTACGCGTCGGTTTGTCTACTTCCTGGTGACGTATGTCCGGACACAGTTATTTGGTGCATGCATATCTACCCACAGGCTGGGAAAAACGCTTTTTTATGGAAAGGATGCATGTGAGTGGAAAACTTTGTAATTTTTAATCTTTGCCTATTAAATTTACTACACTATGGAAGGCTTTCTTGTCTTTTTATGAGTTGCATAAGAGAGGAGGAGGAATGAGTCTGCCAGAGGAATACACCACTGAGGTGGTAACTGCTTTGAGGCCCTGTGGTGGGTGTGGGAGGAAGGGAGGTGAGGGCACATTTAAGGAGAGTACTTGCACTTAGAAGTGCAATCACGTATGTGTGTTCCAGCTTAAAGCACTGTCACTGCATGGAATATTTTTTTTCACCTTTGATATTGTCTTGTTCACCTATGGCATATATCATTTATGTATAATTTAGACACCATTGTATGTGGCCAATATTCTGTTTTCACGTATAATATATTCTGTTCATTATATTTGATTTTATGCACTATACTATTTAGTTTCCTAATGTGTGTTATTTCAGCTATTTTGGTTGACACTATTTTTTCTTTTCACTAGAGGGAGTCAACACACATTTATTATATATAGTGGTCACTTTGATTTATAATTACACTATATGAGATACATGATTGTATTCATGTGATACAGGCGCTTCACTAAATTTTTAATTTTATGTGGCACTAGTACTGGCACTTTGCTTCATATGAGACAAGTAATGTTTCCTAGCACTTCACATTCTTCTCCATCATCCAAGCTACCTATCGAGTGCCACTGCTTTCTACAGGTTCGTATTCATTTTGTCAGAAAGGCTTCCATCATCTGACATGATCAAATCCAATTTTGCTAATGCTGTGGTTTTGTGTGCAATGATCACAGGTGGGATGATGAAATTACACTGCACACAAGGGATGAGGGGTAGCAATGGTGCTCCTAAATATGCTGGCAATCTGAGTCCATGCTAAACGGGGGGGGATGGCATTTTTGGGGGACACTAATACTGAAGGGGGCACTGGCCCTTATAGGTTTCTGCTTCCAACTAATCAAATATAACGCAACGTGTAATGATGGTTGTATCAGACAACCTATCCCTGGATTCAATAGTGTGCAATTTTAACATTGATCAGTGAAAAATACTGTTACAAGACACTGTTACTAAAAGGCACTGGCTAGGGTGACAGTGTTAATGTGGCCAATCAGGGGTTCAAATGTGTCTATCTGAGTGTGGGTGAAGTGTGCTGCTTTTACGCAAGATAATATCTCTTTCTTCTTCCCTCCCTGGAACAAGATGGTTCAGGGGAGAGAAGATACAGCTAGATCCTGTGCCTGTATTTACAAATACAGGCACAGCTCTACTTCTCCATTCTCTGTAGGAGATCAGAGTTCCAGCCAAAAATCACTGACTGAGACCTGCATCTCCTGCAGTGAGTGACAGCCGTGGTGAGCGAGGGGGGAGGGCACGCATGCACACTCCAAACCGTTGCTGGACCTGCTGCTGCCGCGCCAGTCCACAGTACATTACATACGGGCGAACCGAAAAGCGGCTAATGTTCGCTGTAAACAAGAATACTGAACAGATAAAAACAAATTTTCAATGGATGAGGGGCTGCTCTCCAAGACTTAGACTGGAAGTGAATATTGACATTGATGAACTCAGAACAGAAATGGGAATTTTTCAAAAAGACTGTATGTGAACACACTGAAAAACATATTCCCATGGGCAATAAGTTTAAGAGGCTAAAAATAAAACTTATGAAGCTCACGCTCAAAGTTAAAAAAGCTATAAATAATAAAAAAAATATAAAAATTAAGGAACAATAGCATCATTTAATTGTCACAGGAAACATAACATAATATGTAAAAAGGAAATCAGGACTCCAAAATTCAAAATCAGCTACAGATTGCAAAAGAAAGTAGGACAAACCCCAATAAATTCAATATATTAATAGTAGAAAAGGTCAGGTCTCAGCATGTAGGCCCTTTACAAATAAATCTAGAGTGGGTGACATGGGACAAAGAGAAGGTAAAATCTATTTATTTATTTATTTTTTTTGTATTAACGATTTTTATTGATTTTCACATATATACATATAAAAAGAACACGTTGAAAGAGAAAAAAATAAAAAGAAAGAGCACATCGGTGGTAAAATCTGCATGGTTACAAATAGAGATGAGCAAAGTATTCAAAAATTCGATTCGGCTGATTCGGCGAATTCGAGGAATAAATTTGATTCGAGGCGAATATATTCGCTGCGAATTTAACTTATAAAAGGGTGTTTCTAGGCTTCAGAGAGCCTTTATATTAGTGCAGAACACTGTACCTTTAATTTAAATGCCCTTGGAGTCTGCTAAGGAAGAGAAATAATACTGTCAGTCAGTATGACATGCAGATGAGTGCCGTCGATCTTAGAAACACCGCACACTTCACTCATTTGGGCAGTCACGGGGCCAAAACCAGAGTGTGGAGCCACAGTGTGGCGGTGGAGGCAGCAGCAATGGGAGGCCATACAGCACCCTATGACAAAAATGGAACCCACCAGCAGTGTGAGGAGACCTGAAAGTGGCACATGGCAGAGTGTGGCGATGGAGACAGCAGCAATGGGAGGCCGTACAGGGACCCATGACACACTCTGGACCTGGCAGCAGCATGAGGAGGTGGTACAGGGGCCCATGGCAGATTACAGGCCTGGCAGCAGCAATGGAAGGCCCGTAATCTGCTAGCACCCTATGACAAAATGGAACACACCAGCAGTGTGAGGAGACCTGAAAGTGGCACATGGCAGAGTGTGGCGATGGAGACAGCAGCAATGGGAGGCCGTACAGGGACCCATGACAGATTACGGGCCTGGCAGCAGCATGAGGAGGCGGTACAGGGGCCCATGGCAGATTACGGGCCTGGCAGCAGCAATGGGAGGCCCGTAATCTGCCAGCACCCTATGACAAAATGGAACCCACCAGCAGTGTGAGGAGACCTGAAAGTGGCACATGTTTGGGGCATGATTCATGGCGGATTTAGTCAGTTGTGTCAGGAACTGGTGGTTTGAAATCCAGACTAATCCACGCCTGATTCATTTTCACAAACGTGAGTCTCTCCACACTTTGGGTGGACAGTCGTGTCCTCCGCGGAGTTACAATACCTCCTGCCGCACTAAACACGCGCTCCAATGCCACGCTACTGGCCGGGCATGACAGCCTTTCAAGGGCAAATTCAGCTAGTTGCGGCCAAAGGTCAAGTTTCGTTGCCCAGTAGTCAAGGGGATTGTCTACCTCGGTTGGCAGGGTGCTGTCCAAGTAGGCCCAAGCATGTTGTTTGAGGTCCTGCTCCAGGTCCACCTGATGCTGCTGCTGCTGCGGCTGGTTAGTAGTTTCCTCACTGCGCTGGTGAAGAAAGCTACTCATCATCGACTGCAGACTGAGACAGCCGCTGCTGGTGGAGCTGCCACTGCTCCTACCAACCCACCCCTCCCCTGCTGCCATGGCAGCGGAACGCGAGCGCACAGGGCCCACAGTGTCTGAGGATGGACGTTGGCGCAGAAAGGCAGAGACCAACTGACTACATAGGTGGTTTTTATAGTACTTTATTTTGGCCTCCCTCTCAGCAGGTGTGAAAAAGGCCACCATTTTTGAACGGTAGCGAGGGTCCAACAAGGTGGACAGCCAAAAGACATCCCTCTGTCTTATGGTTATTATTCGGCTGTCGCTACACAAGCAACCGAGCATTCTATGGGCCATTTGTGCCAAGGAATGCG